CTAGCAATGTTCTCCTGTTCATGCTGCATCAAGCCATGTATATGTCGATGGAATTTAAATAGGGGCCGATTCCATCAAATAATCTCCCTCGTCCCTTGTAGTTTCATGTTTACAATTTTTTAATTTTATTTTAAGAGTGATGCTACTACGTTGGAATAGTTACTATGAGTGAATTTCTTTTATATGTTTTTCAGTATTTGTCACCTGAAGATTTATTTCCATCGTTCCTTGATCTTAATCAAGAACTTAATTCATTCGTACATCATTCATCGTTCCATCTCAGTTTAGCAAACATTTCAACATCAAAATTTGATTATTTATGTAAAGTAATATCGCTCAAACGCTTGAAATCATTGGCATTGTCAAATAGACGTCAACGGTGTGGCCAAATTCAACGACTTGTATATATTTGGCATGTTCAATAATACTCAATTAATCTTCGATCGTTAACATTTCTGGAATCGAAATTGGAGCAATTACAACATACTCACGAGGTGCCGTAAAATCGTACTCTCACGGTTGTATTTTAAACAGCCTTCAAATTTTTTCTAAGCTTGAGAAAATGAGTGATGATTTAGTCTTATTGCTGATTACTTTTATTCTAATTCGTTACAGTCAATCGTAGCGTTAAACATTATCGCCCATTGATACATGACATCATTGACCAAGAGAGAAGTGTTTTATAGTATCGTTTTATGAGTGACAATTACGAGACAATAAAACACAGTACGTACATACATGATCATAATTTTTTTATCTGCAGATATCTTTTTTTGGTTAATAAACACCTCTTATAAGTTACAAAACAGTTTTTGATCTTGTAATATTTACATGAAAACAGCCAGTATTTGCAGCTTTCTATTTTTTTGAAACATTCTCAATTTCACACAACAGCAAAATGAAAGGTCACTATTTGTTGTTGATTCTTTTAAATATTTATATTAATACAACGACTTATGGTCTTACATGCTACGAATGTATTTGTTCTGGAGCGACACCTGATTGCTCATGTACTTCGCCAACGAGCAATAATGACAGTGATGCAGTTTGTGTTATTATACGAGACAATTCTGATAATTCAGCTAACACTGACGAACACTTAAGTCTTATTAAAAGAAACGAAACAGAGACTTATATTGAAAATTCATATTTTGTACTAATGAAAGAATCCATACAATATAACGATACGTCGGAAAAATGGATACCGCGGCCAGATACTGTTATATTTGGATGTGACTGGGATATGTGCAATAATCCAAATCTAACAACGTTGTTACCATCAACGATACAAATGTCATTACCTTCGGATTGGTTAAACGAAAATATACTTGACACGAAAAAGAATGTAACATATTGTGATTGTCACCATTGTCCTAATTCTTCCACATGTGGTAATTCAACAGATTTTGACATAAGTAGATGTCCTAACAAAGTTGATTGTAATAGTACATGTAAATTAAGCCAAGTCTACCGAGAACCACATAGTGATCCATATTGTTATAAATCGGAATGTCTACCAGTATCGTCTTTACAAGATTCGCCTCGAGTAGAAATAACGGCCATTTACTATTTTGACCAATCATCATCACCAACGTACGACGCATTTAATATACCGGAATTCAATATTTTTTGTCGTGCCGATAATTGTAGTCGTCCAGAAATATTTACTGAATTCCGAGACAAATTTACCTACAATATTAGTAATTTAGAAGCTTTTATGAATCTTCGGCCCTCAGCAACTACCTCAGTATTCGATTCATCCACAGTAACATCAGAAGCACCAACTACCTCAACAGGGACACCAGGAGCAGCAACTACCTCAACAGGGACACCAGGAGCAGCAACTACCTCAACAGGAACATCAACAGCAGGAACTACCTCAACAGTAACATCCGCAGCATCAACAACCTCAACAGGAACATCCGCGGAAGCAACTACCTCC